TGCACTATGTCGTTGTGAGGGTGTTCTCTGAAACTCGCAGTTCTGCCAAGGTTTCACATCCCTGCAGAATGCACAGTTCATTCAAGCTTTTGTTTTTGTGTGTCAGCAACAGTTCTTTTGCCAGGTAATACACGTTCCTCTTGGCCGCAATTACCGCCTTTGATCTGGCACAGACCATTCGATTAACGGCAACTTGAATGTTGTTTCTCCGTAAATGCTGTGCATCTAGCACTGCTTTGTGATCCACCCCCTTTATGTGCATCTCTATAGTCTTCACCCTGAAGTTGGACGTCCCCGAGGTGAACACGTTGTGCTTTTTTCCCCTTACACATAGTGTGCAATACATTTTATGACTTTGTTTATTATAGCACAACCACGGGAACTTCATTTTCCAGGTTCCGACAAACTTCCTTTAGTTGTGGCTGACCGGTTTCTCTTCGTGGCTTACGGGTGTAGAAGTGACATTGTCAGATGGCGTAGGCTCTGGATGGGGTGGGAGGCTAGATGACGACAACTCCGGCCCCGGGGCACCTGCACGGGTGGGGGATGCTGGCGGAGACTAGGATGGCGGCAACTCAGGCTCGGGCTGAGAGCCAACGGCAAGGCTCGCTGGCAGTCCACTTTTTTCCGTCACAGGAACCGGCTTTGTTGGCGGCGAAAAAAATCCCACCAGCCTCCTTTGCCCCTCCAACAGAGGGATGTCATTTTCCTTTTTGTCATTTAAACCAGGGGTTCCCAAAGTGTGGGAAGGTGAGCCTCCCCTCAGAGAACATAATCACAGCCGCGCCCCCCCTCCCAATTATTATTGCTATTATTATTGTTGCTATAATGCAGGGGTATTCAATTGCATTGCAAAGAGAAAATGTAAGGTGAGAAAATGTCATAAAATGCTCTGTTTTCGCTACCTTCCTATTTTTTGATTGGCTGAGCGTCACCTCCTTAAAACATTAAACAATAGCTTTTTTAAACCTCTTTATCTTTATGTTTTAAACATGTTGAGGTTAAGGATGGCAGCTTCCTCATACGTTGCACTCGGAGAGAAATAGTTGAGACGGAGATGTCTTTAGCAGCAGGGAGGAGTAACGTTCCACCAATGTTGTGAGGTTTACCTGTCTTAGCTATCCGTAACGCCACTCGGTATGATGCTTCGGTTGCCTTTGTATTCACAGTGCTAAATGTGTCAATGACATTTTTCTGTGACTGCAATTCCTTGAGCTTCCGGTCAAAAAACTCCTGTGGCTTGGTCACCAAACATGGGTGTTTCATCTCAATATGACGCCGGAGTTTACATGGTCTCATACTGTCATTAGCTAGCACCTCGTTGCAGATAACACACTGTGGCAGTGGAGTGTCATCAGGACCGGTCCATGAACATCCTAGCTTCAAATAATCATTGTCATACTTCCTTCGTTTTCTGACAGACGCTGTCTCCTCTCTCACTTTAGGTAACTTCACTAAAAATCTATCCATATTTTGCAGCTCGCATAAAGTTAGCTGAAGTTAACTAGCTAGATTTCACTGTTTCTCTTTATTTTTTTCTGGCGGCTGCGCCTCCCTTGAAGCTCTCTGGAGCCCCCAGGGGAGGCGCGCCTCACACTTTGGGAACCCCTGATTTAAACGATAAAAATTGTCGATCTTCTCTCGGATAAATCTTTTTTTTGGGCCGCCTCGGCTCGAGTTGAGGGCGCTCCGAGCTGAAAAACGGCATCCAATGACGGCAAGACGGCCCCCTGGTGGAAACACTGGCTCAGTCTCTCTCTCTGTCTCTCTCTTTCTCAGTCTCTCTCTTTCTCTGTCTCTCTCTTTCTCTGTCTCTCCCTCTTTCTCACTCACTCTCTCTCTCACACACAATGTGAAGATGTCCTGTTCTAACCTCTCTCTTTCCTTCCTTCTGTACTCTTCCAGCAGCTCTGGGTTGCTGTACACTTTCTCTCTGTGCTTCACCACCCTCACCTTGGAAGCTGCCCTTTTCCTTTCCACCTTTTCTGAACTTAATTTCAAGAGGGATTCAGTATTCATTAAATAAATTAGATTCAAATAATATATATAAATGATTTATTTATAGTTAAAGCTCACCATACATAGCTGCACACATTTCTTTCATTACCGCAACAATTTTGTTCATTACTGTAACAGCCTCCTATATGACAAGGTAATGAATGCAGAGCATTACGGTAATGAATGACCATAACACTAGCTAGCATAATAGTTAGCATAGCCATGATGCTACAAAATAAATATTTGCACTATCATTCTGGCTCTATAAAAGCAACTTTTCTATTGATTTTGGAATCAATAACTTAAAAAAAACATTATATAATACCCCATTACGGTAATGACAGTTAGTAGTGTACACTGGGGTGTCAGTAAATTGAATCTTTAACATATCTATAGCTTGACCTTGAAAGGACATCTTACCTTGTAGCTATCTTGCATCTTCTCTTCCATGCAATGCATCATGGGTAAAAAAAAAAACTAATTTAAACAAACAGGAATTGTAATGGGGCCAAATAGGCAGTGCATCGGTAATGAACTTCACATGCTCCGGACACACATATTAATCCAAAAATATTTTAATTCATAAATCTTAGACCCAAAATAATTATATTACCAGTAAGAATGTACCATTTCAACAATTTTTTGTATTTATGTATGTATTAAATTGTGCAGATTTATTGTGATATTTTGGGGTTAAATGTAAAAAAATAAACTCCGGACGCATTACGGTAATGAATTTCTATATGGAAAAATGGTGAAAAAAAATATGAATTACTACCTCAACTACAAAAATAGCAATAGTACCACATACAATACACAATGCAGTTTGATATAGAATTGATTATTTTGATTATTTTTGTAATTTTGTCTGTCAATTCCTCACAGACATGACCAAAGGTGGTTTCGTGAGAATCACCCATGTGTCCTTTATATGCTGTCCATTGAAATGCAGGAAAGTAATCACCAGCTCTGAGTGATCTGTTGCCGAGGGGACACTACACCGGAGTTACATAAGCAGAGATAGTGCTATTTTGGGGGGAACTCACCTCCTCTGGGGGGGCCCCCCAGGAAGACTTTTTTTAAATACTGAAGTTAAAAGCATCAATCTTGTGCACTTTGAGAGCAACATTAAGAGATATGGATACATCTCTCAACACCCATATGTCAATAAGAAATCAAAGAATCAGAATCAGAAACGGGTTTATTATTTAAAAACACTTCATTTTCCAAACATGGAATAAATCATAAACTGTCAAATTATTAGAAGTTGTTAGTAATCAGATTAAACAGAAAAAAGGGATGGAAGGAGGAAATAATAATCCCTCATCACTTGCTGTTTGCGGTTGAAATGATCTCTTTTGCTGCCCAAACATGCTGGATGGAAAGCAGTGGTATCTCACTTGCCTTGGCCCTGTATCTGCAGTCCCTAAATCAGTCATGTTACTCATTGACTCTTGTCTGTTCTGGTGTTCCTGTTCATTGTTGTCTCCATTGTCGTTCTTGTCTGTTGTATCTCCTTCTTGTGTGTCCTTTCTCCTGTTCTCCTTTCTTCATCCTCTACTCTGTTTGGCTCATCTGTGATGACTGTAGGTAAACACAAACAAGTATGTAAGTCAATCAGTTTCCAGCTCTGTCAAATAAATGAATTTCAAGATACACACATTTGTCTTCATTAAAATGAGTGTCACCACACTGTCACAAAATGTAATACTAACCTATTGAAAATAGTTAATTTACATCTCTTGTAGATATCACTGTTAGAGTAGTTATCTGCCAATGGGACATAATCATTCCTATACAAATGCAATTTGAGTAATTCACTTAATATATTTACTTAAAACTTTAATATAGTCATTTTCACTTAATACTCTAATATAGTCATCTTTCTGCATTCAACACTAAGGAAAGCTGTACAATTTGACATGATGAGGAAAAAAGGCCTCCGACAATGCAGATCATTTTTTGATCATATCAATTTTAAGATGGGGGTCAAGGCTTAATATGTGGGAGCATAGTGTCCCTTGCTCCCTTTCAGGAGCCCCACTGGATTGGCTTTGATCTGAAATATTTGTATAAAAAGCTTGTTAGCTGGCTGTCCATCTCATAATGTTCACATAGAAACTAGCTGTCAATAGGAAATATCAATCAGAATAATTACATTTTCATGCCAAATCTGTCACAAAAAGAGGTTGCACATTTAAATGCAGGTGTTGTTATGGCAACGTCAGTGGCCAGACAGCCACATTTACTGCTGCAAATACGTTCAAACATGCTGTCGACACGTAAAGCAGTGGCAACTATGCCACCATTTCAGCTGACTTTTTCTCAAATACTGTCACATAACATCCATATATATATTAGTGCTAGGTTGATGCTTAGCTAAGCTAACTATGAAACACTTTAACTGACAGGACTCAGGAATCAGGATCAACTGTGTAAGGTAGCTTCTAGCTTCATGTCGAACACTGACAGTAAGTCAACATTTCTCAGAGAGCTTTCTTTGAAATCACCAAGTAACGCTAAAAAACACAACATTTAGATTGTATGACAAAGTGTTTATTTAATATATAGTAGCTAATAAGCTAATAAGTAGCTATATAACTAGCTATAGCTACTTGCTAACGGTTTAGCTTACCCACGTGATTCAAAGTAACGTCAACGTAGCTATAATGTATGCTTTGCTTACATGTTCGCATAGCTTGTAAGTTTACTGACAGGTACATACCTTGTTCATCTGGCTCAGGTGGTGGCTCTGGGGTTGTTGTGTGAGCCACCACTTGAGAATGGCCGTCTTTTTTATTAAAGAAATGTTTAATGTCCATCTTCAGAATCTCCGCGTCCGGGGCTGAAAGTTTAAAGTTTAAACATTGTCACAGAGGACAGGAACGTACCTGTCAGCCAATAAAACACGTTTATTTCCATGCAACTCTCTGATTGGTCTGGTGGCGTCGTCTTGCCTCTGTGTTGCATTCATTGAACATGGGAAATTACATTTCTGCCGTCCGTCCTATAGGTAAAGTAGGTTAATGTATTATATTATTGAGGGAGAATTTGTCCGGGGCTAAAGAAAAAACATAAAGCCCCGGATGCCTACCCCAGGCGACGCCCCTGCTTTAGACCCTTTATCAGGACTTGCTGCAGGTAGCAGATCCTGAAGTAAAAGTACAAACACCACACTGTGAAAATACTCCATTACAAGTTAAAGTACTGCATTCATATCTTATCGAAGTAAAAGTATGTAAGTATTATTAGACACATGTACTTTATTATAATAATTAAAATGTATTTCGGAAGAGCAAACCTACCAAAATAAATATATTTATAAAAATACATACATTGAATAATATGCCATTTAATGTACTGATTTTAAATATGACCCATGCATGTGGGCACTAGGAGTGGAGTGCACCAGCTGGGCGTAAAAAAGTAGGGCTTAACTCTAACGTCGGGCTTAGCTACATCGACTTCGTGATTCGAATTTACACCGAGTGCACCAAGCCTGACTAGTCTCGGGCGTAGCTGCGCCTGGTCTTAAGATGCGCGTCCACGTGAATACACGCGAAACAGTAATTGTTGCCAAGCAACACACGTCTATATAATTTAACACTCGAACTCCTCCATTCAGAGCAAGCTACGAATTGAATAAAGAATATGGATAACGGAAAGAAGAGAAAAACCAATTTTACTGATAGAGAGATTAGAACATTAATTGAAATATATGCAGAGCATAAAAACTCGCTAACTGCCAAATTTAATAATACCATGACAAACCAACACAAACTCACAGCCTGGAAGTCAATCACTGGTGCGATAAATGACTTGGGTGATGGAGGGATACGGACGGTGGAAGAGTGTAGGAAAAAGTGGAAGGACCTACTATCCAGAGCCAAAAAGGATGCATCGGTTCTCAAAAACCCTCCGACCGGCGGAGGCCCTGCTCCAAAAACCTCTCCATACAGCGAAATCATTATTGCTATTTTTGAAGAGGATTCCCCCACTTTCACTGGGTTGAATGGGATCAACAGCTAAGAGCCCTCAACCTCAACATTTGAAGAGGTTGACGCAGACGTGTCAGCTGTCACTAGTGGTAAGTAATTAATAGAGTAACATCACCCTACATTATCTATATACATATTACCCCCGTGAGACATCACGGCTAGCAAGATAACAATTACCAATCGCGGCAGTTGATAGCAACTGACAATAACTGACAGTAACTTGCCATTTTACAGACTCAGAGGACCGCAGAGAAGAGGGAAGTCCCACACCCGCAGCGTCAGCGATGACTCAAGGGGAATCCCAAATGGCCACACCCCGAAAGAGAAAGAGGGATTTATCAGAGCTACAGCGGGAACTGACGGAGAAAGAAATCGTTCGTGTGGAGGTGGAGACCGTAAAATTGAGAGCGGAATACGAACAAATTGAGATGGAGAAATTGAGACTCCAAATAATAATTCTTAAGAATCAGCTACTAATCACTGAAGAAGACAATGTGTTCACCGTTCTGTAATCATGTTGTACTTGTTTTTTATCTCAATTTCATGTTAATAGTTCTCCAAAATGTTGTTATTTAATGTTCTTGTGTTCTTTGAATAAAATAGGCCTAGTGAAAATATGTGGTCACAAAGGGAGCTTATTGAATATATAGGTCTATAGGTTGTTTATTATATGATTGCGGGTAAGTCGTCCACCGATATCTTCACGGATGCCAGCAGGAGCCACAGGGTTCTCATCCGCGTCCAGTGCCAATTCTCCTTGCAGGGGGATTCTCTTTTTCACACAGATGTTGTGCAGCACCGCAGTGGCAGCAATGATCACGCAGACGCGCTCAGGGTGCATTCACATTTCACTGTGGAGGCAGTGAAACCTACAAAAAAAAGCAAAAAACAAATTAGCCTATATCTACATTAAAAGGCTGGCCTTTTATATATTATATTAAATTAAAAAGGGCTTGTCTGCCAAAACGAAACCTCTATCAGTTCACTGAATAGATGTCCAGTGGGTTTGTTCGATCACGGACGACTCTTTCTCTTCTTAATGCCCTTTCATTGTTAAACATGTAAACAAGACGCCCTGCCATCGTTAATATCCTGTTTTACGTTACTATGGATACTAGTCCGCCTGCTCCATACTTGGCGTAAAAGTGACACCCGGGCGCAACGCATACAGGGCTTAAGTCTAAGTGGTGCACTAGTCATAACTTTAGTTTGGTATTAACCTTCGGTTCTACGACGGACGTAGAGTTACGCCCAGCTTACGCCCAGCTAGTGCACTCCACTGTAGTTGGTTAAATGTGACATACATTGATACTTTAGTTTTAATGTGCTTCTTTATTCACCTTTTATTTTTAAATGTGTAAAGCAAATAAAAACAAATACTTTGGATTAATTCAAATTGCGGGAGAATAATTCATAAATAAATCAATGAATACATATTAGGGATGCTCCGATCGATCGGCCACCGATCAATATCGGCCGATACTCACTCTCTACCGATCTATCGGGCTCTCTAAAAATGCCGATCGTGAGAGCCGATCGCATGACGTAAAATACATGACACTTTTCTGTGTGCGCGGCAAAACAAGCTTTAGTCTGGCAGCATTTTCGAATGTGCTAGAATTTGAAAATACACAACCGGAAAAAAATGGATGCTCCGATCGATGTCAGAGAGAGAGAGACACACACACACACACACACACACACACACACAGACACACACACACAGAGAGCTGTTTGTTCCACAACAAGCTGGAAGAGAGTCCTCTCCTCTCAGACTGAGAGGCTCAGGTAAAGCAAAAGGACTCTCTGAGGGTTTAGATAGTTAACTTTAGTCGAAGTTATCTCAGTGGGACTCAAAGTTACACAGGGACGCGGGAAGTCAGTCAGAGTTGGGGGTGCGTGCAGCGTCTCGCAGCGGAGTGTAACGGAGCGTCCACACAGCAGCGTGCGTTGACGCTTGGAGGTGGGCGTATCTGAAGCTTGGGGATTTTTTGCGACCAACAACCAATCACATGAATCTCCCGCCCCCGACATACAAAGCAATAGCAATGTTAAAACGAAGTAAACTGGATATAAAATCCACAAACAGGTGAAAACCTACCAGATTCACCCACTGTCTCTGCCACCTCCCTCCATGCCTCGCTGCTCCGGTTTGTATCCCGGTAGATGAACAGAGACTGATCATACAGCACCGGGTGATTCTCTACCGCTATAATGAATTTTCCCTCCATTTTTTTGAATATGAGGAAATGACCTGTGTAGTCTCTCCCAGCATACACGCGGTTTGATTGGCTAGTGCTTGTACTGGCAGATTTGCATAAACGGGATTTCATTGGCTGACGCCTCCGTCGAGGCGTCAAAAGTTGAACATTGCTCAACTTTTGACACCAGCTACGCCAGCAACGCTCCACGTCGCTTCCCAAAATGCAGTTCGGCTAAAAGTGACGTCACCCCATTCAAAGTGAATGGGCAGAAGCGTTGGAAGCTTAAACGCACGCCGCTGTGTGGACGGGCCGTAACTGTGGTGCGGAGGGGGGACTGCGAGTAGAGCCTCGCAGTTTTTCAGCTTGATATGTGAAGCTCATTAGCTAGCCAACATGTATTTAGAAAATGTTTAGCAAAATATTAGAAGTGAGGCTACTAGACTAACGTTAGGTGTACTGTAATAGCCTCACTTTTAATAGTTTGCAAAACATTAGCTAGCACTAGTGTTTTGCAGTTGCTAGCAGTTTATTGGGATTATATGCTAGATAGACAGGCATTGGTTTAATATAATAAATTAAGCATTATTGTTAGTTAAGCATGTCAGCCTGCAGCCCCACTTCTTGTCTCTCTCTAACTCATAGCAGATGGCTGCACTAAAGAAAAGGGCACAGAGAGGAAACCAGTTGTAAGATGTTTAAAAGTTCATTAAACATAATATATGCTTAAATGCATTTCAAAGAAGTTGAGTTGAGTTGTGTTGGAGTTTGTGTTATTCTACATTTTGACACCAAGATTTTCTGATTTTACTGCAAATGTATATCGGTTCCAAATATCGGTTATCGGTCTCCTTGATTACTAATAATCGGTATCGGCCTTGAAAAAGCCATATCGGTCGATCCCTAATTACAACAGCAGTCAAATAGGGCTTTCCACTGTGCACTAACTCTACCTCTGCACAACACAACTGATGGTCTCAAACACATTCAGAAGGCAAGTCATTCCACACATTGACTCTTGACAAGGCACACGTGTTAATAGAAAACCATTCCAGGTGACGACCTCATGAAGCTGACTGAGAGAAGCCAAGAGTGAGCAAAGCTGTCATCAAGGCAAAAGGGGCTACTTTGAAGAATCTAAAACAAAAATCATATTCTTGATTTTTGTAACACTTTTTTGTTAACTAGATAATTCCATATGTGTTCTTTCATAGTTTTGATGTCTTCAGTGTTAATCTGCAAAGTAGAAACAAATTAAAATAAACAAAAAACATTGAATGAGAAGGTGTCCAACTTTTGACTGGTACTGTATATAAAAAACAAAAATATTTGAACATTTAGCAGGTTCCCTCATCCATAATCATTTATACAAGCGCAACTTTGAACATGTCCAGCAGTAAAATGCAACATACAAAATAATCAAGAAACAACATAAATTAAACACTGACAGGGAAAATTTGACTGCACCATCATTACCGTTACATAAGAAGGTGCCATCAAATGTTCTGTTAATACTTGCATACTTTTACTTAAATAAGGTTTGAATGCAGGATTTAATAGTAATTTCATTCTATACTGTAGGCGTAGTGTATCTGTGAACGATCCCAAATTCCTTGTTTACATTGCGGCTAGTGCTACGCCAGAAGAAAAAACCCTTTTACATTTTGAACTGGAAGTGGAAAGGGGCTGGGCTACATGAAGTGACTTGAGCCAACAGAAATACACAATAGGTGGGACTAAGAAAGATAATGTGAAAATATAAAAACAAAGGCATTCATTAGGGCTGCAGAATGTCTCCCATTGTAATGGTGATGAGATTTTAAATGCTAACACTTAACAGTTTGTTCTGACTGTGTTTTCTGTTTCCTGCAGACGTCCAGCAGCTGGTGGTGGTTAAAGAAGAGCTTCTCCCTGACCAGCAGGAGTGGAGCACCAGTCTGGACCAGGAGGACCCAGAGCCCCCCCCACACATTAAGCTGGAACAGGAGGGAGAGCAGCTTCAGGAGCTGGAGGAGGCTGATATCACCAAGTCCACTTTCACTCCTGACCCTGTGAAGAGTGAATATGATGAGGAGAAACCTCAGTCCTTTCAACCTCATCAAAGACAAACTGAACACATGGAAACAGAAGCTGATGGAGATGACTGTCGAGGACCAGAACCAGCCAGGAACTCAGATCCAGAGAGCAGTTTGCAACCAAAGACTGAGGACCACACTGGAGACTCTTCTGAACCTGACACTGGAGACTCTTGTGAACCTGACACTGAAGACTCTTTTGAACCTGACACTGAAGACTCTTCTGAACCTGACGCTAGAGACTCTTCTGAACCTGACGCTGGAGACTCTTCTGAACCTGACACTGAAGACAGTGCTGATTGGAAAGAGACCAGAGAACCTGCCTCAGGCTCAAACTCACTGAAAAATAGACATGAATCTGTCAGTGATTCACGTAGTGCTGAAAAGAAACCATTCAGCTGCTCAGTCTGTAAGAAAGCTTGTTCACACAGTGGAAATTTAAAGAGACACATGCTAATCCACACAAGGGAGAAACCACACAGCTGCTCAGTCTGTAAGAAATCTTTTTCACTGAGTGGACTTTAAAGATACACATGATAGTCCACACAGGAGAGAAACCATTCACCTGCTCAGTCTGTAAGAAAGCTTTTTCATATAGTGGACTTTTAAAGATACACATGAGAATCCACACAGGAGAGAAACCATTCACCTGCTCAGTCTGTAATAAATCTTTTTCACATAGTGGAAATTTAAAGGACCACATGCTAATCCACACAGGAGAGAAACCATTTAGCTGCTCAGTCTGTAAGACAGCTTTTTCACAGAGTGGACATTTAAAGGCACACATGCTAATACACACAGGAGAGAAACCATTCACCTGTACAGTCTGTAAGAAAGCTATTTCACAGAGTGGACATTTAAAGAGACACATGAGAATCCACACAGGAGAGGAAAAATAGATCTGCAAAGTTTGTGACAAAATATTTAAATGGCGTAATCTTTTAAAAAGACCAAGTGTGTTGGTAAGGGAATACATTTGTCTATTTTGTATCCTAATGCCGTTACATGTAATACGTTACTCCCTAAGCCTGTTTTCAACCACCTGCAACCGATTCTCTAATAATCACAAATGTTCATTTCTTCGACCCCTTGAGACTATTTCTTGTTTAATAATCGTTACATCTCCTCAGGACCAAGTTCCCGTGTCCTGCCTTTCACCTGCTGACCACCCACTGCTCATTTAACCAGTTAAGCCCTGAGCCTGTTTTTCAGGTTTCAGGCTCGAAAATGCCACTAACACAACAAATGATATATCTTCACTTCTAAAAGGGGTAAATTAATAATTATTTTTCTCAAAGCAAGGTTACATCTGTGAGTTGGATGTAGAAGTGTCAGAATC